GGAACGCTATGAGACTGCCATGCCGGCATGTGTTTGCAGTTAGGCGGACTCTGAACATTAGTCTCTTTGATGACAAACTTTTCTAAAAAGGTGGTCCAAGGCATATTACTACTGTCATCAGAGAGCCTTCCTTTCTCAAGAGAAGTGCACAACTGAACATTCCATTTCGGAGCAGGCTGCAAAACCTCGGAGGCCAATGTCGCAGCATGAGAAATACAGGGAGGTATTTCCTACATGCAAGTACATAGCTCAACTTGCTGCAGAAGAAACAGGTGAAAGATACCAGGGCCGTCTAAAAGTTTTGTTGGCACTCTCTGAGGCATGGGAGCAAGGGTGCGAAATTGAAATCGTGGAAGTGTTGCGTCATGAAGCCTCATCCCCTTCATCACCAGAGCAAGTCAGACGCCAGCTGGAGCTGACTGTGTCCGTAGAAGAGAATGCAGAGTCACCCAAAGCTGCATCAGGTGAGGATTGGGACACGTCTGAAACTGCAGATCAGAATAATTCACATGATCAACCAGATCTGCCTCAAGCACCTTTAAGCCATACCGGGGCAGAACCACTTCATACCACTCCTGAGAAAGAGCAGCGTGCCCATAATGCAGGTGCATGCGAAACTCCTGATGAAGTGAGAAAGGCACAGCCACGCGAGAATACCTTGGCCCCTGCAAGCAGCGCCGGGCCTTCAGACTACATGCGCGAACGCCTCGGAAAGCTGAAAGTGCCCGCTAAGGTGAAGTCACGAGGTCGACCCAAAGGGGCGGAGGAAAACCGTTATTGGGCTTCCACGACGGCGGCAGGGACCCCACAAATCAGCAGCAACACTGCAGCCATTTCGCGATCTGCCTCCTCAGGAAAAGGAGCTCAGGATCCTAAGTTGCTTAGTTCCTCAGGGCCTGCTAAGTGAGGTTCAGCAGGGGAAACTGCTACTCGGTGAGTTGTGAGATTTACCTTTATTTATGCTTAAATTTCCTATTTTGTTGCAACTTCAGTCGCTATCTAAGGTGTAGTACGAAGGTGTCTGATATCACCTATAGGGCTGCAACTACAGCTACATTCTGTAAGAATATTGAGTGTTCAATTCACAAAATAAACCTGAGCCCTAGAAATAAGTTCCCCTTGTTCAGATTCATAGCATTCTGTTGTACCTTAAAGCCATCTGATGGCAGGTTCAGAACACTTATTCAGTAATTTTTACAGGTGAGGACCAGGTGGAAACCATACCTTCCAGGATTCCAGAGACAATCCTCGACGAGGAAGTTCACCTTGACTGTGTCCAGAAATACTTCACTGAAGACGGCTGGACAGCTGTGCTGGCAACAGTCAAGGTGAAGAAGCAAACCATAAAGTGGAAATGCAACGAATGTCGGGACCTGTTAGAAGAGGACCCTTCTGTGATTTGTGACTTATGTTTGTGTTGGTTCCACCAAATCTGTACTTCACTGAGCAGCCGCAACAGGAATAGTTCCTGGTTTTGTGCGAAGTGTGTAGCAGCAGCCCAAATGTAAAGGAGCTGCTCCGTGAGTGGAACACAGCGATGGGAAACCTGCTGCAATTGCTCCTACGTGCTATATTTTGTTAAAGCTGGTCCATACATGCTACAAATGAGCAAAATTACTCCAACCTGCTACGTTTTGTGAAAGCTACTACATTAATGCTACAAATGAGCAGAATTGCTCCAAAGCTTCTACGCAAGCAGGGTTTGCTTCTACGCAAGCAGGGGAGCTCGCAAGCAGGGTTTGCTTAAGCACAACAAAAGATGGCTGAGTGTATGCCCCACTGGCATGCTTATAAAAAATGGAAGAAAGCTTAGTGCTGTTTCATGCGAGTGACATTTACATGTATTGTGTGTCTGTGTATTTGTTCCTATTATTCTTCATACAATTGTGATCCTTTGATTAAAGCTTGCATTAGTTGTGCCTTCAGTGAACACTGAATTCATTCATTGTATACATAGTTTGCATTGACGTCACCATGGCCGCCATCTTAGGGCCCCCAGCTACTTTGAGATGCTGGGTTAGCTCAAACGGTGACATAGGATTTGTGCCGGTGCCCTTCGCGTTCCTTTGATTCCCACAGCGCGCCTTGCGAACAGAAGAAAGTGGGGACATCACAAAAGAACACGGGGACCGAACAACTGTGTGTCCTCCTCTGCAATGGTACTCTCTAATGACATAAAAAGTCACGGTTGCCGCCATCTCGGAGCACCCAGTGCAGAGAACCTGTCTGTGATGTCACGTGAAAACTATGTATAATAAGAGCATTAAAATGCTATCTGGCCTGTCTTTTTCGTTTTTGCAACCTGCTAAGGAGGAGATCATGAGAGCACCCAGGCGTAGGCGGCTAGCTAGTTAGTGATCTAACTTGGCTAACCAGATAAATAAATTCGTTTGGTTTGCTAAGAAATGCTTTGCATTTAAAAATCTTACATCTTGTTTTTTTCCCTGCAGTAATTAGCTAACGACCCGCTCATCTGGAAACCTCGTGGACTCAAGCGCGCTGGTTAGTTTTTGGGAGCCGGTCGCAGTTACGGTTTCAAAGGTCAGCGAGTAGGTCGGCTCCCAGAATGGTTTTCGTGCAAACTCAGCTGGCTACATAGGCGCATATCACACAAAACCGCGTTCGCGAGAGTACCGCACAGAACTCTTTGCCCGAAAATTGCTCTGCCGAGGGAAGGACATCAGCCTCTGTACTTACGTGCGAGCCTCCCCCTTTCCGTTCAAAAGATCTGCTAGGAGAGAACGGCACCGCCGACATCGACGCCGTTCGTCAACCACGCGATGCTCTAAGTTTTCCATTGTCACCGGTAGTACTCGCTCCCTGTCAGTCTTTTACGTGAGCAGGCTCGCACGAAGGCTCGTTTCTTCGTATATATGCAAAAATTGGTACGCGGTAGCCGTGGACCCACCCGGCAACTCCCGGCGTACGTCCGACGTATCTTTTTTTTTTTTTTAGACTCAGTTTCGCGTACCCCCGACGTATCTTTAGACTCACGGTTTCGGGTACGTCGGACGTACCTTTAGCTTTTAGTAATCGGGTACGTCCGACGTATCTTTAGACTCACGGTTTCGGGTACGTCGGACGTACCTTTAGCTTTTGGTATTCGGGTACGTCCGACGTACCTTTAGACACACCGTTTAAATAAAGCTCAGATATGAGGATTATACAATATTCATAAGTCAGCATCATCATGAACTCCATAATGAAGATAGTGGATTGATAACTCTGTCGCTTGGGTGACACTGAAGTTTATGGCAAAAACACTTTCATCCTGTGATCAATATAGCATCGATAGTCCATTAAAACCTCGACTGTGTGCATCTAGGTAATTCTACGATTAAAACGGGACACGTTACCATTCTCTATTCGAAACATTTGGCCCCTTCAAGGTCTCTTTTATCTGTGTTTATTGCTCAAAATGAATTCAAAAACTATTCAGGTTTTCTATTATGCCCCATTCAATTCGAGTACCAAATCGAGTAGAACGCTATTCGTAATTTTCAATATTTGCACACTCCTGAAGCTGGCGAATTAAAGGTTGTTAGAGAAGAATGGAAATTTATTTTTGAGTGCATATTCACATTAAAACAAAAAAAAAGGCTTTTTTTTTCCAACACTGACTTCTGGCATCTAACAAGCATCTCTGCTATTAACTGAAGTCAAAAGCCTTACCTCTAAATTGAAGCAAGAATAACAATACACTTCATATGAAAATCAATTTGCCTGCTGCACCCGCACGCATCGATGGGCCATATTTCGCGTTTTATTGTTGCTTTGAGTTTTGTATCTAAAGAAACAAAGGTAGGTGTGATAAGATTAGAGATACTACAACGATTTATCAGACATCACACGGGGATGTCGAGTCAAATCGCTCGACACACAGGTTGACGTACGGCACGAGACAGTATACCTAAGCCACCTAAGCTAAGCAAACCGGAGGTGTCAAGTATCTATCGTCGTCCCTGGTGCCCGCGGCTGGCGTTCAGAGCGTGCTTGGGAAAAGCACCCACGTATAATGCACACAAGAACCACAGCAAGCACGACCTTTCTGTTTGCCTCACTATGCGTGTTAAGGCATCAGCGGTGTTGTGAAACTTTCATCGGCAAATACAGGCATCGGATCATTTTCATTTACCGCTATTCTCCGCGACACGGACGGCCGCGCACAGCCTTCCTATTGAAACTTTAGTGATAGAGGCACGCACCTCGCACGCATCGCTGGCCGCGACAGAAAATTGCGTGGTGAAAGCTTCAGGTTCGCGTTAGGTTTTTTTTTCTAACACGTGAACACAACGCCGCACGTCGAATACGATCTCGCGAATCGGCGATAAAGAGCGCGACCCAAAGCGCGCGTGTGGCAACGTCAAATTGTTGTTCGCCCCGCTTTCGCTTATCGTTTCGATTCAGCGGCGCGGGAAAACCCCCTTCAACATTCAGATAAGTAGTCGTCAAAAATAACTAAACGCGTCTCAATCCGTATGAATGCAGACAACGAGCCACGGGGGTTGCAGCTGCTTCCGTTACCGTCACCCACGGGTCAATATTTACATGGTAACAGCCGCTAGAGCGGACGTCGTACTACATAACATACCTGCGAGTCGTGGCTCAGCTGAGATCACGTCGGACCTGCCGCGGACGTCAAGTCAGCCGGGCGCATTGCACGAGAAGGGTTGGTCTTATACGAAGCGTTTGTTCCGCCCTTGTAGAAGGGGTGACAGCTTTCAGCACTTTAGAAACTTGCAACAGAGCGAGGTAATCATAAACGCGGCGCAAACTGAAGTTGAAGTCACCGAAGCGATGTGCAGACGGATGGCTCGTCGCCCGTTGGGTAAGTAACGCAGCAAATGCACATTATGTTCTAAATTTCTGACAACTGAAAACTTAAAAACAAATTTTTGCATTTATTTATTATAATATTTTTTTATTTTCAGTATCTGTATATAAGTTTTAATTTTTTTTTATAATCTGCGGGTCGTTAACATGTCAGCCCCCAGCGATTGAGCGTGGCTGCAGCATGCGTACTTGTTTTGATTGAGTAGCGCTGTCACATTCCCGCGTGAGATGTCGCGAATCGTCGTGAAAAACCTTCCCAAAAAGGTAAGAAGTGCTGTTCTTTCCCGTGACACTTTCTATATTGCGTCGTCACATTGTTTTCGATCTCAGATCAAAGAAGAACGGCTGCGGGAGTTCTTCTCCACGAAAGGGACGGTGACCGATCTGCAGCTGAAGTACACGAAAGAAGGTGTCTTCCGACGCTTCGCCTTCGTGGGATTCAAAGATGAGGCCCAGGCCGCTGCTGCCAAGGAGTACTTTAATAATTCGTACCTGGACACTTCCAAGCTTCAGGTGAGTTGCTTGGCAGTCTCTCTCCCGGCATATGATGACGCGTTCACGGTGATCATATCTACCACGGCTCTTTCGGCCGAGAAACATAAAGCGTGGGTTCAACGTCTCTGCAAAACCTAGATTGCTGGGATGACATGAAGGCCTGTAAAACGTAAGATCAGCTGAGCTGTGCTTGGCGCTTGAATGTGAAACCGTGTCCTTACGCTCAGGTGGGATTGCTTCCTGACTGTAGCTACCACACGAGCTGTAGAATACCATCGGCGAGGTAGTTAACTGTCGCGGTAAATGTGTCATCGTACAGGCAACATTCAAGAAATCGCTGGAATCACTGCACTACGCTGGATAACAGCTAATATAATAATAACTGTTGGGGTTTAACGTCCCAAAACAACAATATGAAGAACACTGTAGTAGAGTGCTCCGGAAATTTCTGCCACCTGAGGTTCTTCAGCGTGCACCTAAACCTAAGTACACGGGCTTCAAGCGTTTTCGCCTCCATCGAAGCCGCGGCCGGGATTCGATCCCGCGACTTGCGGGTCAGCCGTCGAGTGCCATAGCCACTTGACCACCGTGGCCGGTCAGGTAATACAGTCAGAATACGGGCAAGGTTAAAGTGCATTCGCCCTCAGTCACTCGTAGTCAGCCTGTTGTGGTGAAAGTTTCACTTTGTTTTATTATTTCTAGCACGCCTTTCGATTGATGCGTTAATTTGTTTTGTTCGTCAGGTGGAGATCTGTGCAGCACTGGGTGATGAGCAGAAGCCCCGCTCGTGGAGCAAGTACTCTGCCGACAGTTCGGCCTACCAGCGGCTTCACCCTGAGACGAGGAAGCCCAAGGTGAGATCTGCACGCACTTGTGCAATAGTAACGGGGTGCACAGGTCACGGCTGCACTCCTCTAGTCTCTGTAGTTTCCACATTTCTGTTCATACATTCTTAGACAAACAAAAGTGCACAAAAGACCAGCACAGTGGGTTGTATGATTTGTCCTCATTTTACGTTTTACTGCACCCATGTAGGGCTTCTTTACCAAAGATTTTTAATTCTGCATGTGTAGATATACACCTGCACATACAAACACATGCACAAATGGTAATTGGACCTCCCCCTTTTATGTAAAGTCGCTTCCTTTTGTTTTTACACACCTAACACAGACAGGTGCATTCACAGTATGCAAATCAAAGATGATGCACTTAATGTAACCTTCATCTTCTTAATTTTCTTTTCAGCCAGTCAAGGAGAAGTCACCAAGGAAAAACTTTGCTGACGAGTTCTTAAAAGACGTGAGTTTCTGTGTACACACATGGTTATTGGACATGTTTTAGTTCCTGGTATTCGCAAGTTTTGAGGCAACCATCATAAAACCTGTTCATGTTAAAACCTCTCCAATACACGCATGCGTGCCGGACAGGTTCAGCAAAACAAACTGTAGCTTCTGGTTTATGCTTCAGAGATTTTGTGCATTTTTTCGAATTCGTTTGTATATGTGACCAACTTGTGTGAAAAACTGGCACGTGAAAGACTTGATGCCGGTAATTAATGCCATGCGTGAAACATTCAGTTAGGAGGCGCTCTCTTAGCTCACATTACATATATCCAGGCATAGCCGAGCTAAGCCACTGCTACATCTTTTTATAGTAAGAAAATTTGAATAGCTTAAATAGTAAATTTCCAGTGCCAATCAAATCAAATAGCAAACACTATTAGAGAAATATTCAAAATTTTGAATATTCGCACACCTCTACTTCAAACCTATGTATAGTTGACACTCAGTAAAAGAAAATCTCTTGAACAAAACTACTACTTGAATGGAACAACCGCCTATAAGATTATTAATTTTGTGGCTGAATTCTGCACGCATGTTCACTTCTTTGTAAACCGAGCTCCTGTTAACCGGAACATATTTTCCTGATCTTTTCAGGCTCTGTTTAGCGAGAGTCTACTGTAGTTATATCGTGTGTTGACCGGGACAACCATGCATGGTGTTCTGATGTTTTCTTATGCGTGTGTGGGCTTTGTTAGCTGGAAGGCAATGAGGAGTTCGAAGAGTTCCTCAAGGTGCATGGGACGCACAACAAGGTCACCTGGGACAATGACACGCGCGCTCCGAATGCTGACGGAGATGCGAAGAAAGCGAAGCCAGCCAAGGCAGTTCCGCCTTCCAAATCAGAAGACGAAGATGGGGACGATGCTGATGAAGAGGAACCTAAAGGTCTCAGCTCTCGTTGCTTTTATTAACTGACCTAATAGAAAAATCATTTGGTTTGTATACTACTAATAAATTACCATCACGCAGTACCAAAACAAAATATGTTCTTGCTCTAAGGAGATTGTTTGCGGAGTCATAAAATGTGCAAAAAAGTGAATTTCAAGTTGTGTTGCTACATTGAAATCCCTGCAATAACTTATCATGACGTAAAACCTTTTAAAGGTGTCTTCTAGGCTCTACATAATTTTTCTTGTAAAAAATAAATTGCATTGTGTTCTAAAAGATTTTATTCAGCTGATGTTTGTAAACACAAAGCAGAAAGGACCCGCAAATCTGCGACATCACACAAGCAGCAAGGTGCTGGGGTTTAAGCGTGCAAAGTGTGCATGAAAAATTGACCACCATTGTCTTCTCCATTAATAAAGCTGTTACTGTGAAATTATGAGCATAGTGTTCTAAAACAATGATTTATCAGTCTAAACCTTTTTGTTGGCCCATCTAGTATGTTTTTAAGTTAAACTCAAGTGATGTCAGTAGACATTGGGTAGCATAATTTTTACAGGGAATAGTTTCCCACTTGTCTTGGTAAGCTTTGTAAATGCTACTGCGCTAGTACAAGCTTTATAGCTCTTTCTCTGCTAATTTGTTTGACTCTTTGCTTAACATGACCCTCTGAGAGTGATGGCTTTGGCTCAGTAGTCTCAGAGTCCATGCTTTTTAGAAAGTAAGCAATGTAAGTAACCAAACTAATTAGCATAATTAATTTTAAGTTTGCTAATAAATTTTTTCAATCCATAAACGTGGTAGCATCTGTCTTATATGCTTTTTTGTTTGTTTTGTTTTCCTCACATGCGTGTATGTGTTGGACTCTGTCCGCACTCATAATATTCTGCATAATAAGTTACCCCTCCCCAAGAAGCAAATGCTGAGGGTTTATTCGGAGTCACATTTGTATCCTTTTATATTCACTAAACTGGGTTTTAAAGGATCTTCTGCCTTTTTTTTTTTAGATAACTTCGACAAGGCTCCAGCTAGTAGTAAGGTAAGTGTGCCAGTGCTATCCAGCACAACTGATAAGCGAGACCATATGCTAGGATATGCATTACCAACTTTGTCACTTCTTATTGAGGAACTTGACTTGGCTTCATTTGTTGTAAAATTGCGTAACAACGTCTCTTGCTATGTTACGTTACTGTCTAGTGTAATGTATTTAAAATTTTTTTGTTGGTCACTTCTTGCTAATTTTTGCACCGTGGAATGTCAGTTTTTTCACTATTGTGACACCTCTTTCTGACATGTTTTGTTAGTTCTTTTTTTTTTTTTTTTCATGTTGTTATTCTAGTATGAAAAGTGTTGCTCAAGTAGTAAAACTTGATGCTAACGTAGTGTTCGTCGTAAACAAGCATTCATAAGAGATTACGGTATTCATGGAGTTATCAAGCCGTGGCACACCTTATGTACGATAGTCCTACATGTATCGACTGCGTTGCTTGGCTTTATAAATTTTTTTCCATGCTCGCAGAATGCAATTTTAGGAACAATTCAAACATCCTTGCATTGCATGACATTTCATTCTGGCTTTATTTGTTCAACTTTGTTTAACCTTTCTTTTTTCTCTCAGGCTAAGAAGAATGACAAGCAGCAACCGGTTCCGCAGCAGAAGCAAAAGGTAGACTCTTACGCTACTTTCTCCTTTTTATTTTTTTTATGGGATAACACTCTCATGCATTGTTGTTGTTTTTGATTAACTTCTTTTTTCTACAGCTTGCTATTTCCTTCACCACCTTCCTAAACAAAGCACCAACATAGTATCTAACTGTCAATAGCATTCTGATAATTAGTGACAGGGCGCAGGTCTGATTTCTAGTCACTGCGACTGAATTTAAGTGCAACTAAACAACCGCAGGTAATCTAAGTTAATCTAGAGCTCCTTGCTAATGTGCTCATTTTATACTATAATATACTAGCACTTGGACACTAAAATCTTAATTATTTGTTCACCCAACCTGATGAACCAAAGCCCGAGCTTGATGATGACAAGCCTCCTGAATACAGTTTTTCTTACCTTTGCATCAATATTTTGGATGCGTGATTTTTGTGCTCAAGTTGGTGTTTGTGTTCGCTGATATAAAGTTATGTCCGTGTTCTTGTTAAAAGATCGAAGCACTTATAAAAGAGTGTCTGTCAACACTTTACAATTATTATTATTTCACTCTGTTCACTTTGCTTGCATGCTCTGAATTTCAGTACTTGTTAAGGTACATTTCACAGCTTTCTTATTATGTTTATTATCACCACTAGGCAGAAAAACAAGTCACCTGATTTGAAAAGTTCATATTTATTGCCCACCTAGGATTCTGGGTGTTGGCTGTAATGTTGTTATGGTTGTGCCAATCAGTGCACATGTCATTGTCATCGTTGTCATTAAAAACATGGTACGATTGAAAGCTAACTTTTATTTGGTCACCAAAACTTTTGCTTGTTATTGTGTGGCCGGCCATTTGTCGAGGCGATAACATGATACAGTAGATAGTGCTATCACTTTTACTCCCTTCAGCTGTACTACTCGTTCTAGGTGCCCTCATCTTTTTGTGCTTGTACATGCCTGCCTTTTCATTTCAGACCACCTTTTCACTTTTTTTCTGCTCCTTATTTGTGCATACAGCCCAAGCTACCAGTACAAGAGTTTGCCTACACGTTGAAAGTCAAGGGACTTCCATACAATTGCAAAAAGGTAAGTGAAAGAGCAAGGTACCCAACTTTTGAGCACACATTTCACCATGAAAATATGTTTACTTTGTTCTTTTTTTTTCTCTCTTGCACCGAAGAAACAAATCAAGGACTTCTTCAAACCTGCCAAAGTGGCCAGCCTGCGACTTCCACCGAAGGTCAGAGGTGAGTGTGTTCTCGAGGGTATTGATACTCGAAGTCACACTATCATGTATAGGCTGTGGCTTCAAAAAGTTGTGGGCCTGTTGTTCTCTGCTTATGCTTTTGTTGTAAGTTTGTTGTTGTGGGAAGTTTGTTGTCAGTACTGTAAGAATTTGAGAGAGTTCTCAGCAATGCCTCTTGCAAAGTAAACTGCAAAGGGCTAATGCCAGTATGATATTACCTGCTGACTACTATGTCTTTGCCTTAAACCTCTCAGAAATGTGGTCGCTGCTTGCCTGAATCACCAGCATTCCAACCAAGGGGCTATGGCACATTTCTATGTGCTTGAGATTATGCATTCAGTTCCGAATTGTGATATGTAGCCGCATTCGGGTAGTGTAGGAATGCTGGTTTACTATGCTTTGAACCAGCATTTAAGAGCTCGCACATTTTATAGCTCATGCATTTCTTTGGAGATACCATGTACTTTCTACCGTATAAGCTACGCAAAATATATTGACTAGAATGGAATACTGTGTGTAAAACCTGCACAGAATACACAGTGTTCAATTTTTATTTTGCCACAGTCGTGGAAGATACTCTTGCTCTGGCAACTTTAGTTTCATGTTTAGTGTTGTCATTCTTGAATTTGGTGATCTCTTTTAGCTTCTTGAGGGCAGCGTGTTGTGCTGGTAATCCACATTGACTCGCAAGTCAGCTGTGGTTGATGTGTGGCTTCGCAAAAATTTTTGAAAGATTGCCGAGTGTGACTCTAGGGAGAATGTCTTCTGGTCCAGTTTATGAGTTGTAAAAGAGTGCAGTGAGAGGATGACGACAGTTATAGCGCGAGAACAAAACGTCGACACAGAGACAAGAAGGACACGAAGTCCTTCTTTTCTCTGTGTCGTCGTTTTGTTCTCGCGCTATAACTATCGTCATGCCATACCAACTAGCCCAAGCTGCCACACTTCTGAGAGGATGAAGTATGGTTATCACTTTCTTAAAACAAAATTTATTCAATAGCAACATAGTTTGTAAATGCAGGACGTTGTGACAGCTCAAGCATTATAACAAACCAAAATTAACTGCTTTGTTATGAATATTTTAGACAGCCTTAAAAAAAGATTAAGTTTTGTGCATCGTACATTATTTGGAAATACACTTTTGTGTGACTTCGCACTTTTTTTTTTCTTTTGTGCAAATGTAATGCTTCTAATAAAGTTCTATAAATAATGAATCAGTATCCTGAGTGAAACTGTCATCTCAATTAATGTGCTCCAGAAAGCTTTTTTAATGGCGTGTTTGAGAAAGTTTCATCAGCCTCGCGTGCAGCAAATAAGTAAGCAAGCAGACCGTGCTCACGTGGGTAGCCAACCAAGTACCTTGCAAGCCGCTCAGTGGCCATTTTTCTGGCCTAACATTCAGAGCCATCATAGCTAAACATGTGAGCATCGCTTTCCTATTTCGCGTGCCTGGATTATTGTGTCCTCTGTGCTTTTGCATTCTCAGGATGCGTGGTCGAAGTCGTTTCGTTTGGTTTCTCTCCGTGAGAGTCATTAGCGGCTGTCATTGCAGTAGCAAAGCACTCTAATCAGGCATAGCACAATAGGCAATCGTCCGCAGCCAGTTTGTTAAATCCAAACTAGATGGCATCACCGCACCCTGAGGGTCTCCTTACCACGGCGTCTGCGCACAAGAATAAAAGCGAGCAGCGCCAAAAAAGTTGACATGGCAGCACCTGAAGGTGCAGTTTCCTTCCACTTTGAACTTATAACGTTGTCGTTCTGCGCTGTGCAGCCCGTAGGTTTGCAACAAATGCATTTATTTGCTTTCTATTTACGTCCTGCAGCTTCGAGAGCAATGTACTCATCGATATTTTGCCGTGTTTTCAAGATTCATTCTGAAATAGTCGCAGATGATGCTTAGCAGGCATGCCTAAATAAACACCAGAAATCTTGGAATAAAAATGGTACATGCCTGATGCTTTGTTTGCCAGCATTAGATTACTTGAAGGGATAGCTAATTTCGCCATTTAATTATTGCTGTGAAGACAGTGTGGTAGTATCTAGAGGGAGTTTCGATCGAATTGGGTGGCGACGTCTACAAGGGTGCTGCCTTGTTGGCTTCTAACCCCTGCTACTGGCACTGAACGGCCACGGCCACTTCGCTTGTTCCATTGCGTTGGCTGAGGCAAATGGCTGGGTGAAGGCAGGTTACGGGCACGTGTAAAACATGGTAGCGCTTGTGCCTCGCTGCGAAAAATCATCTATAAGGGCCATGATGGTATTGTAGAGGTGATCATTTTGGTGTGCCTTACTTTGTCTAGGCATTGCCTACCTGGGTTTCAAGAAGGAACAAGACATGAAGCAGGCACTAAACAAGCATCACAGCTTCATGGGTGAGCACAAAGTCTTGTTTGTGTATGCACACCTGGCGTGCCATTGTGTAAACGCTGTGTTCAAAAGGCAACAAGAACTACAGTGAGAAAGACAGTAGACGAAAAGATAACTCGCATGTACTGAGGGGCAAGTGGCAAGTTACCTATTGGTTCACTTTTCTTTCTTTTTTTTACATTCACAATACATTTGTCACTAATAATGTACACTATACTTTCCTTGGCATCATTGTTTGTTCGATCTCATTAGAGGGGCCCCGCAACACTTTTTGAGCTTGGTCAGAAAATGCTGCGGATCGGTAGTAGAGGCTCCCGACAACATGCGAGCCAAATATTATAGCGCAGCACGCGGCTTGCAATTTACAATAAATTATCAAGGTCAGCTGAAAATTACTTTTTTTACACTCGTCAAGTGGCGGAAGAAGCTCAAAAACTACTCGTAGAAAGCCCATCTATCAGCTATTGGCTAATTGTGAACATGGCACGGCTCAGAGATCGCTAAAAGGCCGCGACTTGTCCACACGTGCGCGCGCGATCGCACTGAAAAGGTTGTGCATTCGAAGAAAAAAAATGAAAAAAAGTACTCAAGATCACGAGGCGTGCGTGACGTATTTCTTTGCCCCTGCCATCCCTCCCTGCTTAGCTTCCAGCACTTTCTTCTGGACGGGAAAATAGAGAATGCAATTTTAGCATGCGACAAATCTTTGTAACTCCACTCGCACTGGATGGATTCATAAAATTTTGCTGTGTTAAGCTGGTGAGGCAATGAGATTTTCTGGTGAATTAAGTCTATAGTTACTTGAAAAAGTGTTTCAGGGCCCCTTTAACCCTTTACTGTCAGATGTCGCAAATTCGCGGCATACCAATAAACTTCAAGCAAGTAAGTCACGAAATGCGTGCTGGCTTTCAAGTACTCGCTTGGCATGTAGCGTTCAGCATTAAAAATTTAGTGCTGTCTAGTCCAAGCTATTTTAAGCCAGACCAACCAATTGTTTTGGAGCTCATGAAGAAAACACAAAGCATGTGCAACAACTCTCACTACTTCATTTTTCTCACCTTTGTGGCATAGGTTCTATCCCAATAATTTTGTTTCCTTGGTGTGTGCGCACTCAAGAGTGGTGCACAACATGTTACGTAGTTCAGAAATAAGTTTTTTGTTGCTAGGTCCTTGCTTCTGTGGCATATGGAGAATTCATGACATATGCAAAAGTATGCATTGAAGTTTAATTTTAGATAATTTAACTGTGGAATCATTTAAAGGTTGCTACTTGAAGCTGGAACATGTAAACTATTTTCATTTTGCTCGGCAGTTTCATGATTCAGTCATTATTAAATATTGAGTTCAACAATGAAAACGAACCTTTAAATTTCTACTTACTTTCTTAGATAGCAAGGGTTTGTTTTAGCAGACTTGATGCCTTCAGATAGTAGGCAAGGGATTATTGGTCAGCTGCCAGCTCATTATAAGATTATAGGCAATGTGGTGCCAGCAGGCAGACAAAGTTCGTTTCACATTTGCTGTCATGGCTACTAGTCGCGCTGACTGACATTTTCACGTTTAAATTTTCACATTTTCATTACAATTACTTCTAATAACATCCCTTATACCTTTCTTGGCATCATTGTCTGTTAGATCTCATTAGTATTGCACTATCTCAAAAAGGAAAAGGAGTCCTCTAATAGGGTATATAGTAGCACAAACTTGAAAAACACAAATCAGAGAAAAGAAGTAGATGCGAAACGGTCGGGGGCTGCTCCCTTCTACAGTCGAACCCTTTTATTAGAGACACTGATATAATGAGACAAATGGGTATAAGAGACACCAGTGTGTCTTCAGTAAAATATGGCTTAATAAAAGAATGCCTACATGGTGCCCTGCTATAAGAGACCTATATAAAAGTCAATAACTGCTGCCCAGAGCATGCCTTTTATAAAAATGTTTAACTGTACTTCTTTTTTCCGCTCTGTGTTTCCTAAGTTCGCGCTACTATGTACTACATTGGCGTTAACCAACTCAACCAGCAACAAGTCTTACTCAAGCGCTCTTGTAGTCATGAGCTTCATCTGCCATGTTGGCAGCTACAAAGTTTTGTTTGTCTTAACTGTGAGCAAGGCTGAGGCTTAAAATTACTTTGTGGCTCCATGTTAGCAGCATAATAACGACAGCATATTTATGACAGAAATTCTGATGAGAGGCGGGGGGGAGGACTTTTTCCAGTCTTTTTAGGTCTTTTTCAAGGCTTTCATTAAGTGCCCCCCCCCCCCCCTAAAAAAATTCTTGGCTGTGGGCCTGTGTTGAAACTTGTGAGTAGCTCTATTTCCAGCTAAGATTCGACTCTATAAAGTTCAACATACCACGACTTTTGCTCAGACGGGCTTAGAGTGTCTATTGTTGTTCAGCTGTATTATATACAGTTTTCATTCCAGGGTTTTGTGATACGCTTTGTAGCAGTTGCAGTTTTATGAAAAGATCTTCCTTGTTACTTGTAGCAAGGCATATATTGATATTTTTAAAACCGCATGTATTGAACTAGAGAAAGAACTGTATATTTGACATCAGCACGTAAATATACATAAGCTGTAGATGTTTCTGCTGCCAGATGTTTAATTTGGATAGGGCTGCACTCACTGCTGAGACTGTTGCAGCTAGTATATTACACAGCACGGTTGTATAGACTTGACAGGAGAGTTGAACTTGCTATATTCTGTCCTTCCTTCCCACCTTCTTAGAGTCGATTTGTTTTTGTTTTTTATTGCAGCTGGACATAGGTTAGATGTCACAAAATATGCAAAGCAAGTGGTCCCTGAGAAAAAATGGCGGCAGGTAAGCATGGAATAATTAACACTTCATGCAATACGATAGGAATACTGAACAAAAAACATATCTTCAAAATTAAATTATGCAATTACAGTATGTACCAGAAAAGGCAAAGTTATATGATGAAAACAGGGTAAACAGAAAAGACTCGTGAAGTAAGGATGGCTATTGATGCTATAGTAGAGGTTTCTACTCCGCGTCATTGGGATATTGTCTCCGATGCCGTGACGTTTTATCTGACTTACTTTATCATGTTCTTGCAGTAAAATATAAGTTGCATTGTGTTCTAATAGAACTGAAGATTAAACTTGGCAAATGTTGAGAATATCTGTATCACACAAATGGGCCAAATGCAAGAAAGGAAAACGAAAAAGAAATAAATAAATTTGTTGCATCACTTTGACTTTGTGGCTCTTAAACCAAAATTTAAGAAACAGAGCTCTGAACATCATTTTCTTCCAATGATCAGCAGATGAGTGACAAAGTGCTAAACATTTTGCTCATGAAATTTGCTAAGGCGCAATGCCAAGCTAGCTGGTTAGAATTCCTACAAAAGATACTTCATCTGTCAGTACAGTTAAACCCCTTTATAAGAGGCATGTTTGGGCTAGCAATTGCTGTCTTTTATTTGAGATGTCTCTTATAAGCAGGGTACCACGTATTCATTTTCTCATCAACCCGTATTTTACTGTAGGCTCACTAGTGTCCCTTATACCCATTCGTCTTATGTCAATGTCTCTTATTAAGGGGTTCGACTGTATTTACTTGTTTCGTCTTAGTGTCTCCATGGCAGTGAATGCAGCATACTGGGTACCGATTGCACTGGCCATAAAATTATTATGCCTTGACATGTTGTGTATCAGCACAGTACTGATCTGGGTGTTTCACTTTGCCAGCTGGCAAGTTTTTTGTGTTAAACTGTTGTATGCACTGCTTGTAAAACTGATTTGCGAATTCCTTAGTATTTTAAAGTCATAACCATAAGTGCACACAGGGGTCCTCTTTAGCGAAGGTAGGGGGGCAAAAGTTCATTGCAGCCACCTCCCCTTACTACGTCGAAGTACAGGGCAGATTTTACACACTCCTTTTTAGGTAAATAGGAGATGCGGTCATCCCCCTGTCCCTCCCTCGCACTTTTTCTTCCATATGGCTGTGATCAACAGGCGAGCTTGCTGTCTCAAATGCATTTATATTAGTTCATTGTAGGTTTGCGTGAACATTCGAATCTTCGAACGAATGGTAGACTATTCTAATTCGCTATGATCCAAATTTAAATTATTGAAAATTTTGAAGTATTCGCAAGGAACGAATAAATGTATATTATTCCACATGTAACCACCTGTAAGTGTAGTTTCACTGCGGTGTAGAAGTGTTAAGCCGTGAAAGCACCTATACAAGGAAAGTTCGCTCTGCCGTAAAGCCTCCTTTTAAATTTAAAGGGGCCCTGCAACACCCTTTGAGCATAGTCAGAAAACGCGGCCGATGGGTAGTCGAGGCTACCGAGAACACGCGAGCCAAATGTTATGGGCAGCAGCGGCCTGCAATTCACAATAAATGATCGAAGTCGGCTAATATTGCTCTCTTTCATTGGAAAATGACGCCACTAGCTCAAGAATCTTTCGTCACAGCCATAGTATCAGCCATGTACTGATTTGAAACATGGTGCGCGGTTGTTACTGAGGCCGCCAACGTGCCGCCACCGGTTGTTACTGGGCCGCCACATATCCAAAGAAAAAAAAAAGAGAAAAAGTGCTCAAGGTCATGGGCATGCGTGACATATTTTCTTTCCCTGTGCCATGGCCTGCTTAGCCTCCAGTGCTTTCGTCAGGACGAGAAGAGAGAATGCAACTGCAGCTTGCAAGAGGTCTTTACAGCTCTGTTCGTATTGGACAGATTCTAAAAACTTTTGCTGCGGTGAATTCATGAGGCAATAAGCTTCTTTATGAATCTAATTAATTGATACTTGAAGATGTTTTGCAGAGAATCTTTGAATGAACATATTACCCTCACATCAATTTATTATTTTATTAAGCTTAAAAGTTTGTTATGACGGCTTATATGGTCTAAGTATAATAAATTTTCTAACGTCAAGTATTTACAGGTCATCACTTGCATTCTACTGAAAGTCAAACTTGCTACTATTCAAAGTTGTTTCGACTTCCTTTGAATGAAAAAAAAGTGCATTTGTCTATAGGCTGTATTTCAATTAAAAAAAATATTGTGCAGGTTAGTCAATTATAAATATGCTCATATTTATTTATATGTCATATATGCTATTCGATTTGAAATTATTCGACCGAAATCACTGTTTGCACATGCCTAGTGTATTGTATACACATATTTCTCTTTGACCGGAAACCTGGAAACTGTGCTACTGCCTTCTCTTTATGTAATGTATAATAATCTTTATGGTGTTTTCGTTCCTTGTAAATAGATCCTTGTATAATTGACGGTAGGCTTTTTCGTGGTTGTCTTGAGGCTCACATTTATTTCACTGAACTTTTCTAATTTACCCGTCTTTTTTTTTCTCCTCCTGTTCTTTGCAGTTTGAAGACTTGGGTAACCCCCAGGAGACACTGGCAGATGTGAGCAAGGACATGATTGCATGCAGTAGAAGTTTGTTGATAGGTTTTCAGAAAAAAATGCGTAAGGTAAACATATCATACGGGGAAAAGTACGATCCAGATCCAGTGAAAATCGAGGCTGACAAGTCCATATAGAGGTATAAGGGCAAAAAACATTAATTTTTTAAGGAACAGTAATTTTCTGTTGCTACCTCACCCTTGGACAAGAAAAGGTTTTTCTGTGAACACTGTAGACCCTTGTCCGCATTTTAGTTGTTTTTCGTGCAAAAGAAGCTTCGTAAAAAAGTTTCCAGTCCAGCAAGGCCTTCGTCAAAGTTAGGCGATCAGCGCACTTTTCATTCTCGTGCTGTCTTCCAGTGCCTCGTTCTCTACCTGCTCCGCTGCATTTCCCACCACTACCTACGCGACAATCTCAACAACACTTTCTGGCTCGCAAGTCAAGATTTTGTCGTCTATCGAGACGAACACGGCGAAGGGTGCATCCGGACCCATCAATTTCGTTGTCGATGTCAGACGCGCCTGCCACAGGGTCATTTTTGTTGCGCTCTGTATCCTCCGATGCAAGATGCCGCCGAAGCATATTCAGCTTCTCCTTAATTGACAAGAGCTTGCGCTTCCCTGACGCCAAGCTCGATGCAACTGTCTGTAATCATGAATTAATAAGCAACGTGCAGCCTCGCTCAGGGCCTGATTATTTCGCTAAATTTTTTTTCTGCTTGAAATAGTCACAATCACTGAGGCCCCAACGATTACTAATGGGGGGCGCTGGTTTCCAGCATCTTTCCTACTGAAAAGTGCGCAGCTAACATACTTAAATGCACGTGGCTTTGTAAACCTTCTAAGGAAAGAATATTGTGGAAAACGCCAGCTGTGTGTGAGATAGAGTTGTGAGAGAGGCAGATGTTGCAAAAGTGAGATTATAGTGATTTAAAGCATTGCTACCACTGCAAGGCGCGTTGTGCATTATGTCGCGGAGGCAGGACGTGCGTCTCGTGCCGAATCGTGGCAATGTGGAGGTGACCAACAGTGCATCCATTCTAAGTATAACTTTGTTAGCTCTGTAGTGTGGGACGATTGCATTCGCAAGTACCATGCTACAGATTAAGGCTTTGCACTGCTGAGCGAAATCGTGCCAAGGTGCCGGCTAAGAAAAAAACCATTATGCTACATAAAATAACGGCATTTTATGAAAACTGTTTGAAAACTTTGACAGCCAAGACAGGCCTGTGTGTGGTTCACTGACAGCTGCGGCAGTGATGGAGTGGACAACCAGGCCATTCCAAGAAAGCACGTAAGGTAGAAGACGGGGGGGGGGGGGGGGGGATAATTAAGCCCAACAAAGAAACCGGCGTCACTGCGCGTCAGCAGTCTGCCACTTGGCACTTCACAAGCACGCGAGAGCAGGTTTTTTTTTTTTTTTTTTTTTTTTGCACGCCTGAAGAAGAATTTTCGCCCACAAGACGTGTCATACAATCCCAGTTTGCCACAATGCCGAACGTTGCTGCCGAATAATCATATTTTCCGGGAACGTACTAAGCAGAAAGTATTAACACATATCTAATCGGGGCATTTCTAGTTTTTAGTTTTTGCAATTTAGAGCTTAGGAGCTAAGAGATTGCATTAAGTGCGAATGTATCAACGAGGTTCTACCGCTTGCTATTCGTGGCTCTTTATGTTGCATGCATCAATATTGCACATGTTAATATTGTGCCAGCATGCCATAAATGACCCACATTTGTGTTTTGTTTTCTTGTTAAAGGGCCACTTACGAGGCCCCATAACAAATTCTAGTTAAACGCTGGCAGTTGACTGTTTGAAGAAGAGCATTATGTCACCAGAATTCTTTCAATCGGTTTATTACGAGGTGAGGAAACCAGCATTTTGAAGCGGCGTAAAACCATGATGAGAGGAGACGAGCTTAAAACTTTTGCCGCTTGCCCCACGTAGCCTTCGCAAGCCAAATCTTTTCTCTATTCTCTCCAACATTCGAGCAAGCAGTCACGCGCCAATGCCATTTCTGAGCAAGACCAACGCCAGAGAACGCGAGTGGCGTTGTTGTGTTGACCAGCGTTATCTTGTGTTCTCTTGTCTGTTCCTGCGAGATAGATACCTCGGCGCGCTCCTTGGAAATGCAGGCTCAGATGCAGTAAAATAGATAAGCATATTCAGGGCTTATCCGCTCAATGCACTAACCGCGGGAACACGAACGTGCAAGGGAAACGCAGGCACATTAACCCGACACGTCATTTGATTTACGGGGGGAAAAAAATATCATAAAGACGTGCACGTTTTTTTTGTGTCTCATTATTTGTCTCAAGTTTTATCCATGTATTCAAGCAACAAATTACACAAGGTACACATGTGGTATGAAATAATTTTCACCCTGTCACGGGCACTGTTGGAGACATCAGAGCACACTCGTCTACCTAGGGCAGTTCCCACGTCTTCGCCATGCCCTCATTTTTTGGGCGCGCGCCCGTGAAAGGAAGGGCAAGCAGTGTTCATCTTGAAAGTTGACTCATTTTCGCGGCGCATAGCGTTCCAACTTTTGGCAGACATAATCATGAACGCCTCTATACATTGCGCTCGTCAGCTCAAAATTATCAAACCTAGTGAGTGGCCTTTTAAAGAAGAATATTCCGGTTTCTTCAAAGTAACGATGTCCTTTCAGAAAGAGTTATGAGTGGTTTGGATATTGGGGGAAACTGTGGGAAACTGTGATTCGGCCTAATATGTGATCGATTTACCAGTTCATTCTTCATTAGTGCACAGGCAAGTTCATAAAATATAACATGTGCTTGATGTAAGCTGTGTAATTTCTTAATCAAAATTCAGTTTAAGAGAAAGTGAACGTGTAAAAATGCATGGAAAGGATCATGTATAAACTAGACCAGCTTTAGTTAAGGAGAAGATACAGGCTTGAAGAGATTAATATTCTTTAACATGTGTATATTTAGGTACTAAAAGAAAGCATCAGTCTATGTGGAAAAATGGATAGAAACAAAAGATGTTTTAAGTTTAAACAAGCACCGACACAAAAATTTAGCAGCTTGTTTTTCTTGTTGCAACAGGCAGCGTGTGACTCACTTATCTCAGCTGGAATCGTCATGTGCGCGGGCATGACGGTTTTTCATTTAGAGACAATTTTAGAGTGCCCAGCTGCAGTTTCGGTTTCAGAGAGCACCGAGCTGAGCAGGAGCAGTTCCGGTAGTAAGATAAACACAGCTGCCCACGGGATCATGCAAAACCGTGATGTTGGTGCCATGTGCGAGCGGGCACCACACTGACAGCCAGCACATGCAGAACTGCAAACAGGGAGGAAAAATTGCAGGTGGCACAAGCGCAGGGCGCATGCGTGCCAGCAAACAGCCAACACGAACTTGTGACGTAGATTTGTTTACACTCTTTCCCGCGTTGATGCCAACGTCGTGAGGGGCTCCGCATCTCGTGCAGTCATGCGACATGCACTTTAAATTGATTCTTAGTATCTTCTAGGTTATATTTGCCCTTGATATTTTGTTGATATTGGTATGTCCCTAGATAAATCTATCTCATTCATTTTACCTTAGAAATTTTTAAATGCGAAGCATTTCTTAGCGAACTTCGGCGACATTGAGCGTATGTATTTATCTACCTACCCAGTATCTACCTAACTAGCCGCCTACGACTTTTAGCTCTCGTGGCCGTTTCGATAATGGTATCTATACCAATCTTCGTATGGCATAGCATGACTGTATGAAGAACCTGTTTGACTAGTCATGACATGAAAATCATGACATGTATGTCAAGAATGTCATGATTTACATTTCATGGTCCTGCAGCTCTTGTGGTGGTTTCGTTCACATCACATGTTGCAAAACTGGTATGGTATGGCATGATTGCATGGTTTACACAAGCGACAGACCCTAACATGAAAATAATAACATGCGGTCATGTAACAACATGACTACATGCCACGCTCATGATGCGCTCGCGGCCGTTTTGCTAGCGTCACATTTACCAAACTTGGTATTACGGTACGTGATTGGTTGGCAAAGGTATGTGACTGGTGCAAACATGATAATCATGAGATGCGTGTCATGTAACAACATGAGTGCATGCCGCGCTCATGATGCGCTGGCGGCCATTTCTTTAGCTTCACATGTACCAAACTCGGTATTACATGACGTCAATGGATGACGAAGGTATGTGACTGGTGCATACCTTCGTCTGGTGCAAGCATGACAGTCATGAGATGCGTGTCATGTGAGAACATGACTACATGCCACAGTCAAGGCGCCAATACATTTCGATGTGATGCGGTGCGCTTGCCCGCCGACGTTCATTTTGTCGTGTCACGCCAACGTTGCCACGCCAGGCACCGGCCCTGCCGTATACTCGCAGCCGAGCGCTGCGCTGCGTTGCTTTGACGCATGCGCGTTGCCGTCGGGCCGTGTCCACAGACGCCGGTGGCGCCTGGCATCAGACTATAGAGTGCTTGCATTTTGCTATCGTAGCGTTGCTGTGCCCAGCGTGCACGTGCGTCAACGCTACATTGAAGTAAGTAATTGGGCCCTTCATGATGCGCTCATGGCCATTTTGCTAGCTCTACATATACCAAATTGGTGTTACGTGGCGTCAATAGATGACAAAATGTATGACTGGTGTAAACATTATAATCTCACATGCGTGTGATGTATGAACATGACAACATACCATGCTATAGGGTGCTCGCGGTCGTTTGCTTGCTCCACATATACTAAATTTGATCACATGTCCTGAATAGATGGTGAAGGTAAACGACACATTCAAACATGACATCAGACATGGAAGTCATGAACGGCATCATTTACCTCCACCTCATAATGTTATGCTGATTTTCAAGTGACTACCAACCTTTCTTATTCGTGCTTCGCATATCATCGATTCCACTGTACGTGGGATCTGCCACTCTTGGTCAGTGCTCTCTTAAACTTTTTTTTTTTCGCACATTGCAGACTGGGCGAATTTTTATTAGAAACCTGTCCTACACAATCACTGAAGAGGAGCTGGAGGAACTCTTCAAAAAATATGGTACGACCCAGCTGTTCCTATATGTATATTTTGCACATGTTTTAGAAACTGCTGTCCTAAATTTTGTTCAGGACAAGCTTTGATGAAATGAAACTCTTGATATGTGTAGTGATGTATTTACCTTTTTTTTTGTAGCTGCACTTTTATAGGCCTGTGCGAATAGCGAATTTTAGGCCCAAATCGAATTCTGAGCGAATTGTGATATTGTTCGAATTATTTCGAATCAAATTCAAATAGCATATATGTTGCATACTATGAAGAAAAATGTGCATATTTGTCATGACCCAACTACCCTGCACAATATGCACAATATATTTTTTTTAATTGAGACAAGGCCTGTCCAAATATCATTTTTTGGCATCACAGAAAACGAAACAACTTTGAATCGTAGCAGGATTCCGCATTCGGCAGAATGCAAGTGATAGCCTGTCAAATATTTTACTTCTTAAAAGTTGCTATACTTAGAGCATATAAGTCAATATAACAAGCTCTTAAACGGCTAATATCCTCGTTTAACCTTGAATGTGGGCTTCGCAGCAGGGCTGATTTTCTTTGGATATGTGTTTTCATGGCTTAGCATTACTTCACTGCAGTGAAACCACCTTTACAAGGCAGTTACGTGTGAATTTATGTACATTTAAATAGGTGCTTACACGGCTAAGCACTGCTCTACTGCAATGAAACCATGTCCAGGGTATCACATGCAGACTAATATGCACCTATTGATTTGTTTCGAATACTTTGAATTTTCAACAATTTAAGTTCAATATGAAGTGAATTCGAATACTGTATGTAGTATTTGTTCAAGTATTCGATATATTCGTTCAAGCCTACACTTTTACAAGTGGCTTCGACTCTGCTCGATTTGATAATATGCTTGGAAATACACCATGACATGCAATAAAATTGCAAAACAATATTAGTAACTACATAACTAGGAAACCATTTCCTGTTCCACACATCAAACCGCTCAGGGCACAAGCCGAGACACTTAGACAACTAGAAACAGGTTCATATCACCCACCTGTACAGCACAAGAAATAGCATAACATTCAAGACATGAATGCTTCATGGGAAGCATGCAAGGTAAATGACTACATTGGAAAATTTGCTTCAAAAGTGTGGGTCACTTGGCCCTGGCATTACTCATAAGAGCTTCTTAAACATGATCTGGTCACAATACCACAAGCAGCTAGTCCTAGCAGTCCAGTATGGCCACGATAGTGCGCGGAGGCTTTACCTTGCAGTTCCAATGTGGGAGTAGTTTAATAGGCTTTCCGGCCCTGCACAGGGTATTTGGCAATAAGGTTTATTCTTCCTTCCCCACCCAAAGCACCATGTATTTTGGGGCGAAGTTCTCTAAGCCGTGGGTCGTGCGTACGCGATGTATGTGGTAGTCGTCATAGTAGTAGTAGGTAGCCACCTCCACGGCTGGACTAGAGGAGTAGCACGCGTGCACACTTTTGAATTTAGGAGAAAACCCGCTCACGTTAATCATAAATATAAAGAGTTGTTTCTGTTGAAATAACCTACAGAGACGAGTATCGGTGGCTTAAGCTCCAATAAAATTTGCCTTGAGTTTGATGCTTACTAAAAAAAAACTAGTATCACAAGGATGTACTTTGAGCACTATCTGACCAGAAAGGGTCAAGGTTTAGCGAGAGTTGGGCCGCAGTGCCATGTATTAGAGGCAGTGAAAGGTGGGAACTAGACATGAAGCGCGGGCCGTAAGAGGTGCGTGCATGCCGCTCCTCTAGTCAGGCCGTGCCGCCTCACGTTTAGTCCTTGGAATGTCCGCTGGATGGCAATACTCGGAATGCTCACTAGATGGACGGATAGACAAATGCACGGACTTGCGCATGGATGGATGAATGGATGGATGCACGGACGAACAGACTGACGGATGCTTCGCCCCACTCATCATGCACTCCGTGGATATGCTGGGACTTTTTTTAACTTCAATGTATTGAAGTGAACTTAGCTACAGTTTCAATATAACAAAGTTTCACCGCTGTTGCAATGACAGAGAGAGGCAGTAAATTCAAACTTATGCTTGTACCAGCAGTCAGATGTTTCTTTTACATTCTGTTTTTCTAATGCATTTTCAAACTGCATGGTATGTGCAGGAGAGTAGCTGCCAAAATAGAGAGCATCTTTCCACCATTTCCTGCAAGTGCAAGGGTTGGCTGAGTGTTTTCTGCTTTGTCGTCGTAGTGGTGAAGTAGAGCAAATGGGTGCCCTAGTGCACCACCGGCGTCGTTTATGACACACTGCACATAGCGGTGTAATTTTGTGTATGGCTCTGTGCTTTCCTTGCACCGACACCCAATTTTCTGTTTTTGTTGTCATCATATGGCAAGTTCCAGGAATGAGTAGCCATAATGCTGTTGTGCTGAGTTCAGCAATCTGTCTGTAATGTTGAAAACAATCTCGCTCATTCATATGCAATAAATAATGTCGCAGTGTGTAAATAAGTGAATCACTGAGCTTGCTCTTCATAGTTCCCAAGTCAAGAGAAGGTACCCTGTACTTTCTGAATAAAGGGTGAATTTCCAGCAATGAGCAACCAGAACTAACCATACTTTTTACCACAAACAAAATGTTTTTTGCCCAGTGAGCTGCTGTAACGTGTTTCGCATGTTTTAAGTAGCGGAGTGAATTTTTTTAAGTTGGTCACATTTATCAGCCACACCACCACCTACCTGCATAAAATTATATGGGTGTTCTTTGATAA